TAAGACTGATAAAAATGTCAATACTAATCATTATTATAACAACCATTTTTATCAACGATAAACATGTTAGCAAAATGAACAAGAGAAAGGAAATCATCGAAGAATGTAAAATGTCTTACATGAATTCGCAGATATTTTGTTTACATGATATACATACAATTAACAATTAGTTTTCGTTGCTGATTAGTGATTGATTAATATATTTTATTTATTTATTTATTTAACAAAAAATCAACCTTAAACACAGGGTGGTAGTTTCAACCAGGTCAATTTACACTTTGGAAATTGCATCAAATTAGTTTGCCTCTTGAGTCCATTTATTAGACCATTCAACGATAAATTAAATATTCCAATGACACTATCACAAGGATTCCTCAAGAAGAAAGAAGCAATAAAATACAAACAAAAACATAAAAAATGTACCTATGATGAGGATGTACACTCGGTTTAAAAAAACTGCATCCTCGGCCACAATTTAAACTCTAATTTTTAAAGTGATTCTATGGACCATACCAGTGGGGCTCAAAAAGCTTACATATGGTCACATGAGGATCTCCTAAATATATTGAAAAGCCATCGGATCTCAACTACTCTGCAACATTAAACATGGAAAAAGCTGTTCTCATCAGTGATCAACGGAATCCCAAAGCATTCTGTTATATTATTATTTCACAAAACTATTTTTAATATTAAACTCAACCATTTTTTAAAAGCAAAAAGAAAAAATGAACCCAATCCGAGAATAAAGTCATTCCTTTGAAAAACCCAACAATTTCAAGCTCTGTTCATCACATTCTACAATTTTAGTAAAGAGTGCATATTTACCGACAAATTGTTCGGTTGACAATTGGGTCTCTTGGGGGCAACACTTCCAAATCCCGAAGTGGGACGGAACCCTAACTCATCCAACGATCGCGAACGAAAAATATCATATTTTCGTCGGACCGCTCTCGTCGACGATCGTGACGATGCTTCTCGGACACTTTCCCCCTCTCCACAACTTCTGCCTCCACGTTCCCCTAGAATTCGCGGGGTGAATGAATGATAGTCATCTCAAATGGATGACTGAATTTGGACGGATCGCCATCGACGAATGATTTGTGTCATGTCAGTGGTCTAAATGCAGGCCCCCCCTTCAGCGACCGTGCTTGGGGCAGGTGAAGCGCATCTCATCACCGCTTTGGCGACGTCGCGGTGCGGGATTCCCCCATCTCTGTCTTGTTTCAAGTGGATTCTTAATCAACAGTTGGTTGTTGTCAGGAATTCGAATAACTGATCTGTGCATATCGTTATTCCAGAGGAGATGATTATTGTGAGACGGCAGAGATAGCCCCGAGCGTTTGCTCTGGATCGCTTGACTCGAGAGGTTTGTTGCAATTTCCTGGGTAACGCGACTGGGGCTGGAACCTTTCTAGATTTGCGTGAAGCAGAAGCAATGAAGGAAAGGCGTCAGAGATTGCATCAGTAGCTTCCTTCTTTTTCTATTTTTGTTGTGTGTCTGTGAGGAGTTACCAGGGAAGAGTGGAGATGGTGGAACGTGGCTGCCTGTGTGTGTGTGTGTGTGGATAGTTGAGTTCAAGTGATGGGGAACCCTTAATGGTAGTTTCGGTAACGTGATTGTTATCGTGGAATGCGGTAATTTATTATGACCTTTTGTTTGTCATTCTCAGGGAGTAAAGTGGAGAAGATGCTTCTGGTTGTGTGTTGAGGTTCGTGGGGATTTGAAATTCACTGCTGTTGGATGTTAGACTGCGCATTGTCACCTAGTTCCAGAGTAAGGCAGCAACCGGTAAGGGTGCATTCTGTAGGTCGAACAACAATGATCGTCCTCTTATTGTTTATGACTGTTCACGAAGTTGTGGTGTCGTGTTCGAAAAAGATGCGATGGAACAATTTGAGCAGGTGTGTCGGAAATTGCAGTGAAGTAATGGTCCGTACAATCATCGAGGTTATTTTTGCGGGGTGAGTGAAACGGAAACACAGGATGCAGCTCGACAGTGTCCAGATTAGCACACAGCCGCGGACACTCTGTAGTTTCGGTGGACGGTGAATAATTCTTAGGGCCGTTTTCGTCACATTGGGACTTTCGCGGTCTCACAATTGTGTTGTGACTGCACAAAGGACCACTATCAAAGACTAGTTTAAATAATCATAGGTACACACCAGTTTTTACACCCAAAAATTTGATTTCCAAAATCGCTCATTAATCGTACTTAACTAAAATCATTATGATAGAATGCAGCAACGAATCTTAGAGGATAAACAGCACATGAAATGCTATGTGCTGAAAGCTATTTCATGGCTACGTTCTTCACGATAGCAACCGATTTGAACATCATGAGTTTTTCAACCTGAGGTGAAGAACAAACGACATTAGGTTGAGGTTGGAATTTCTTTTGCTCTTTCCAAATTTGCACGTAAGTATCATCTAAGTGGAACCTCCAACTCTCGGGCTTACATAGGCTTGATCTTTTCCATCTGAAGGTCGTCATTCCATCCGCCAAATCGATCGATGCGACAACGATTTCATTGACAATTTGGCAGCTCCTCATCCACTGCTCACCGTGGTTGACATCCAAGTCTGGAGGAAGTTTCCCTGTGAATGAACATCGAATGGAACCACTAAAGATTGATGCCCGTTTTGTCTCACGAAGAAAGTGATGCTTTGGTGGAAGCTGCGAGAAGCATTGTTGTAATATGGAGCTTCGTTCCCCTGTGTGGGGTGCAGATTCGCATAAGTGAATAGTGGTCACGTACTGATCTATATTTGAGAGGTTCTGAAGTAGTTGTTGAGTAGGTAGTGGTATGTACGCTGGTGGGGTTCTTTTTCAGTGATTGGACTATTCTTTTTTTGGTAGTTGTTGCAGCCGGCAGTGCCGAAGGTAAGGCTCGTCCTCAGATCCAGTAGCCATATGCAAGGCCAAACTGTGTGCAAGGGTCTCATCTTTCAGCGATCACATTTTCCGTCAGTCTCGCCATTTCTACATAGCGCTTGGCTTGCCCATGGTTTGAATGTTGGTCTGAAACTAGGATGCTTCAAGGTAACGTTGGCGCGTTCGCAGTGGAGAGGGGTTGAAGGGCGATAAGTTGAATGTAGTCTCAAAGCTGTGGTCTTGCCTATTTTCGCCCCTCAGGTTTCTCATTTTCTCTCTTCGGCGACCGCATCACCTGATAGTTGTCTTTGTTGTTGCAGGAGTTTGATCTGCGTATTTTTACTGCACATAGAGTTTTCCAAATTGCATTGGACGTGAACGTTGAGGAGCAATTCAGTAAAGATGAGGTGATGATTAATACGGAATAAGGCACTGCTGCCCTGTGCGCCCCCAGAAGTGCAACAATGGAGGACGACTTGCTTACATCCTTTTGCAGGCCTCTAGAATCAGGAGTTTGGGCAAAAAAATTGCCTAGTGGCTTCGGGGCTTTCACGCCTTGCCTTGTGGACAGTGCAATCATTAACCTGACTTGCATTGTGCTACTCGTATTTGCAATTCAGCGCATTCGGGCTCTATTTTATGGCGTCTCTTTGGAGCGATTCAAAGTCAGCAACCCATGGCGCCACGGCCCTGCATTGCTGCTAGCTTTGTTCTGTGCTGTGGCTCCATTAACACAAATTGCGCTCGGAATCTCGACTGTGAACCTAGATGGGGAGAGTTCCATGCCGCCTTTCGAGGTATTATCTATTGTCCGTTCGCTCTTGAGAACTCTGTATGGAGGGAATGTTTTTGTATGCAAACGATTTCTTCTCTTTCGTCAACTGATGGTTGATTGTAATTTTTGCAGGTCACAACACTTTTATTGATCAGTCTAACATGGATCACTATCTCGGTGATGCTTGCGGTGGAGCTGAAAACTTACACCAAAACCCTTGTATGGTATGTGCGGTTCGCAATGCTGTATCTGGTAGTAGCTCAATCAACGATGCTGCAATTTGTTTTTGCGTTGAAGAGTTTCTACTCCGAGGTTGCACTGCAGGTTGCTGTAAGTCAGTATGCTGCGTCCGCCCTCTTAAGTGTCTACTACCTCTTGCATTTTCCAAATTTGGTGCCCCAGACGGATTACTCTCCAATTGGGTCTGAGGATACTCAGACGGATGGTGGTGTTTACGAACCTCTTGCTGGGGATCGTGAGGTGTGTCCAGAGAGGAAGGCCAGCATATTCACGTTTCTTCTCTTTGGTTGGATGTCGCCCCTTATGAAGCTGGGTTACCAGAGGCCTCTTACTGATAAGGACATTTGGCTGCTCGATAATTGGGATACCACTGAGCAGCTCTACGGTGCTTTTCAAAAAGCTTGGGATGAAGAACGTTCTAAACCAAATCCTTGGTTACTGAGGTCATTGCATAAGGCTTTGGGTGCGCGGTTCTGGTTGGGTGGATTATTTAAGATAGGGAACGATGCAGCTCAGTTCGTGGGTCCAATCTTTCTGAGTTTACTATTGGAATCAATGCAAAACCGAGAACCTGTATGGCGCGGATATGTTTACTCAGCGTCGATCTTCCTTGGCGTTATACTGGGTGTGATATGTGAAGGGCAATATTTTCAAAATGTGATGAGAGTTGGCATGCGTACAAGGTCTACATTGGTTGCAGCTGTTTTTCGGAAGTCGTTATGCTTGACACAAACTGGTAGAAAGGGCTTTACGGCAGGGAAAATCACAAATTTAATGACAACAGATGCAGAGGCTCTACAACAAATTTGCCAGCAACTTCATTCCCTTTGGTCTTCTCCATTACGAATCATCATTGCGATCTCTCTTCTATACAAACAGGTGTGTTCCTTTTCTACGGGGTTCGTAGTAAATTACCTTTTTCCAGATTTTTTCAGTATAATCTTTTGAGTGGATTATGACCGGGGCCGTATCCTGTGATTGATGTTGAGCTCGTCTGTGAATCCAGACAGTTTCCTATAGTGGCTTCACTTTGAGTGCTTCTCATAAGATTTTTTAATCCAGAGGAGAGTGTGATGCATGGATAATTTGTCTGTTAGCTGACCAGCTGTAGCAATCCTTATATTTCAAATCTACCTAGCCTGCTCTCTTTCTGTTTATTTTAATAATTTTTCGTCAACTTTCTAATTTGTTTACAAATCTTGTGTTGTCAGCTTGGAGTTGCATCCATTTTTGGCTCCCTCGTTCTCCTTGTCATGATCCCTCTCCAGACGTTTATGGTAACCAAGATGCGAAGCTTGTCAAAAGAAGGTTTACAACGGACCGACAAACGGATTGGTCTTATGAACGAAATACTTTCAGCCATGGATATTGTGAAATGCTATGCATGGGAGAATAGTTTCCGGTCGAAGGTGCTCCAAATTCGGGATGATGAAATCAGCTGGTTTAGAAAGGCCCAACTCCTGTCAGCTGTAAATTCTTTCTGTTTGAATAGTGTTCCTATTCTTGTCACTGTTTTGGCGTTTGGGTTCTACACGTATTTTGGTGGTGTTTTGACGCCTGCGAAAGCTTTCACTTCTTTATCTCTTTTCGCAGTCTTGAGGTTCCCTCTTTTCATGTTTCCGACCCTCATTACTGCTGCTGTCAATGCGAATGTTTCTCTGAAGCGGCTACAAGAACTGCTTCTTGCCCAGGAGAGAGTGTTGGCTTTGAATCCGCCACTCCAGACCGGTTTACCTGCAATTTCCGTGAAAGATGGGACGTTTGCATGGGACGCTACCAATGAGCAGTCAACTCTGTCGAATATTAACTTTGAGGTTGAAGTGGGGAGCTTAGTGGCTATTGTGGGGAGCACTGGGGAAGGGAAAACATCATTACTGTCAGCTGTTTTAGGAGAGATGGCCACAAGGTCTGGAAATTGTATTATTCGCGGTAAAGTTGCGTATGTGCCACAAGTGTCGTGGATATTTAATGCAACCGTGAGGGAGAACATCCTATTTGGACTTCCTTTCGACGCTGACAGGTACAACCGGGCTATACGTGTGGCTGGACTTCAACGCGATCTTTCTTTACTTCCAGGGGGGGACCAAACAGAAATTGGTGAAAGAGGGGTTAATATTAGTGGTGGGCAGAAACAACGAGTTTCTATAGCGAGAGCAGTTTATGCTGATGCGGATGTTTACCTTTTCGATGATCCATTAAGCGCTTTGGATGCCCATGTTGCGAGACAAGTCTTTGATACGTGTCTCAAGGATGAACTTCGGAATAAGACGCGAGTGCTGGTCACAAATCAGCTTCATTTCTTATCAAGCGTTGATAAAATTGTATTGATCCATCAAGGTGAAATTAAGGAACAAGGAACTTATGAGGAATTGATGGCTGATGGTCCGCTTTTTCAGTGCTTGATGGAGAAAGCAGGAAGCATGGAAGACTCAGTCGAAGACGAAGAAGTCCAAGTGGAGAATAGCGGAGGTAAGAGGCTCTACTGCCCTCTTTTGGACTCATATGTAAGCTCCAGATTAGATGGGGTATGAAGAAGGAACCTTACACATAGTCTCAGGAAAGGCATTGTAAACATTGCAGTGAAGACTTGATGCAATCTGGGGTTGTGAGTCTACCTTGTCTGCAACTTGAACAGATCTGTTTCAGCCTCGAGCTAGAGGAGCAGCATGAATGTTAGGTTGCTTGATTTAATCCGTTATCCTCCCCTCTCAAGTATCAGTTTTCTATTTGTTTTGGATACAGAAATGAATGGGGAATCGAAGGCGCATGAAGGTCCAGCATTAAAGCGCCGATCAAGTTCAAAGAAAGACCCCAAAGATGCTGCCAAGGATAAACTATCGAAGTCTACTCTCATCAAAACTGAAGAACGTGAAACAGGAGTTATTTCATGGAAGGTCCTCGCTCGTTACAATGCGGCCATGGGGGGTGCATGGGTGGTTGCTGTGCTCTTTATTTGCTACATAGCGACTGAAGCCTTTCGGCTTAGCACAAGTGCATGGTTGTCTGTTTGGACAGATGCTATAGCGCCCAAAACTCATGGACCTATGTTTTATCTGGAAGTTTACTCCGGTCTCTCCTTCGGTCAGGTACTCGACTCATGGTCTTAGTCTTTGTGTTTCAGATTTTAAAGCACTCTCATGTAGTACATCATGGGCAATCAATACATGCATTTGTGTCGGGCTTCCTTTCCAACCTTTTTCTGTTTTTAAAAGGAAGTGTTCCTCCAAACGGCATGATGGTCATTACTGTTCTCCACATTTCGCTATTTGACGTGAAGGTGGATTTTGCAGGCCATTTCATATGTGAAGTTTTTTCATTCTTATCGGTTGTTTCTTTGCAGGTGTGCATCACTCTAGGAAATTCTTTTTGGCTGGTGTTCTCAAGTCTCTCAGCCGCACAATATTTACACAATGGGATGATGGGCTCCATACTTAGGGCCCCGATGTCTTTCTTCCACGCAAATCCCGTAGGTCGAATAATTAATAGATTCTCTAAAGACACAGGAGATATTGATCGGAACGTGGCTGTGTTCGCCAATATGTTCTTGACTTCCTGGTTCTCACTAATCTCCACCTTTTTCCTTATTGGATACGTGAACACCATCTCTCTGTGGGCAGTACTACCGTTGTTGCTGTCTTTCTACTCGGCATATCTTTACTTTCAAGCTACAGCACGCGAAGTAAAGCGTATGGACTCGATCACCCGGTCACCTGTGTATGCCCAGTTTGGCGAGGCATTAAATGGCCTATCGACAATCAGGGCCTACAAAGCTTATGATCGTATGGCAAGAATGAATGGCCAAGCTATGGACACAAACGCTAGATTTACAGTTGTCACCATGAGCTCGAACAGGTGGCTTGGTGTAAGGCTGGAGTTTCTTGGGGGTCTTATGATATGGTTGACAGGATCCTTGGCAGTCTTTGGAAACGCGAGGGCAAGCGACCCTGCTGCATTTGCTCCTCAAATGGGTCTCCTCCTATCTTACGCTTTGAATATCACCAATCTGATGACTGCAGTTCTGAGGTTAGCGAGCCTTGCTGAAAACAGCTTCAATGCAGTAGAAAGAGTTGGAAACTATATTGACCTAGAGCAGGAAGCCCCGCTAGTGATTGAAGACCACAGACCACCTCCTGGATGGCCATCTGCTGGGAAAGTTGAATTCAAAAATGTTGTCATGAGGTATCGCCCCAATCTTCCGCCTGTTTTACATGGTGTTTCAGTTGAGATTCGCCCAATGGAGAAAGTGGGTGTTGTTGGTCGAACTGGGGCTGGAAAATCTAGCATGTTTAACACACTATTTCGTGTTGTCGAACCCGAGACCGGTAGTATCCTGATCGATGGCATTGACATTCGCTCTTTGGGACTGGCCGATTTGCGCAAGAACCTTGGGATCATCCCTCAAACTCCTGTTCTCTTCTCTGGCACAATCCGCTTCAATTTGGACCCTTTCAATGAGCATTCGGATGCAGATTTATGGGAGTCTCTTGAGAGAGCTCATTTGAAGGACGTTGTGCGAAGAAATGCTCGTGGGCTAGAAGCTGAGGTCTCGGAAGGTGGTGAGAATTTCAGTGTTGGACAAAGACAATTGCTCAGTCTGGCCCGAGCACTTCTTCGCAGATCAAAAATACTGGTTCTTGATGAAGCCACTGCCGCAGTTGATGTTGGAACTGATGCTCTTATCCAGAAGACGATTCGTGAGGAGTTCAAGTCTTGCACAATGCTCATCATTGCTCATCGATTGAATACAATCATTGACAGTGATCGGATTTTGGTCCTTGATGCTGGGCGAGTGGTGGAGATGGACACTCCTCAAAATCTGATAATGAACGAAAGCAGCATGTTCGCAGGTGCCTGATATATTCTGTTTCATTTCCTACAAATTTGTGACTTCGATTGTTACTTTTGAAATTTGCAGTCTTCCGGTTTTTTTCGTTAGAAGAATAAGCTAGAATGCATGTTGTCTAACAGTCCAGATCTGCCTCCATGAATGCGGGAACCTAGCTTCAAGAAAGCCCTGGACCCGAACAATTTGAACGGGCTTGATAATCAGCCATGACGAACCTCGTAATGACTCCATTTCTTCTTATGTCAGGTATGGTGCGGAGCACTGGGCCCGCTAACGCAAGGTATTTACAAAGAATAGCAATGGGAGATGTTGATCGAATTGCAGAGATTGAGAGGGAAGCAACGGCTCAAAAGGTGAAGTGGGAGGCAACCTCACGATGGGCAAGAGCTGCTCAGTGGGCGCTAGCAATGAGCCTCACAACCTCTCAGGACGACTTGGCCTCCGTTTGCGTAGATGGCGAAGAAACAATTTTAGAGGCTACACGGGACGCTACCAGAACATTGCATCAGGTACTTTTTTCTGTTCTATTGTATCATCATATATTCTCTATGCGCAGTTATTGACACAAAAATCGTACCATGGATTCCATTGTTGTGCCAGTCTGCCTTACTTGAGGTTCAATTACTATGCTACTATTCATAGTAATTTAGTTTCAATTATGCTCTTGAAGAGGACTTCCCCCATTCAGTCACGATAATGCTCAATTACTTGCGTCTCTCAAGTTTTCCTATTCACCGATAAATTTCTTCGTTATTGCACTTATTCAGTTCTGATCCCTAATGTGAACAATTTGACCATTGCATCAGGTTTTACTTGGTCATCATGATACAAGCATCAGGGAGACACTACTTCAGCGCCAAGCAACAGAAGAGAGTTGGTGGTCTGCCCTAACCCGTGTCCTTGAAGGCTTTGCTGTTATGGGAAGAGAAGGTCGGAACCGTATTTCACATGATCAGGATCGTGAGCCCATTGATTGGAGCCAAGTTTCACTTATTGGTAATCAAGTCATGTAGAAACGCGAATGTTTATCTATCTATATTGCTGGATTCATAGAGCCGTTCTCACGTACACGGAGTTTCGTAGGGATTTTCAATTTTTTGACGAAAACTAGTAATTGTTAAGCCTTTTTTATTTACAAATACTTATCTTCCATATCAGTTACATACTTTAGGTGTTACAATGGTCCTTGCAGCTTTATCACTCTGAATTATGTAATGACAATTGAATGCAAGTCTTAAACACAATTTCGTTATCCTTCAACATTAAGGAAAGACGTGTTCCAGTGCGTCAACTGGTTTCAATCTTGTGACATATGCTTTTAGACAGTTAACGGTTGACATTGTTTGACCTCGTGATTCATTCAAGTCATCTGGGTTGCCTAAGATCCGCACGATCGCATTGATGAGGCAGTTTTTAAACAGGTTATACAAACAGCCGCCTAGAGAATAGTAATCAACAAAATCATAACAATATATGCAATTTCTTGAGATGTATTGTAAGTTATGTCAATGTTAGGAATTATTACTAGTGAGAAGTATGCCATATCCTGCTGGAATTTGTCAATTGAGAAAAGGATTTACAGGACTACCATGTAATGAAATGACCACAAAAACAACAGTGAAATAGTTACGGGATCTGGCTGTGCACATTGCACAACCAAAAACTTTGTCAATGCCCAACTCAAGCGTATGAAGTTCTTCCTTTGGACAATGTAAGTTTTCTTTGTTCTAGGTCATCCAATGCATTGCTCCCTCAATTGTAGCTTGATATTAGTTTTGTAAGAATTTTGTAAGAAATTAATAAGTAAACAAACTGTTAAATGTAAATAACCCATTTTTTCTTATAAGACTACAGGATTTGGGTAGAGACTAGAGAAGAGATATAGAATCTACTAAACAATGGAGTATTCTTATGTTTATTAAGGGTAATAAATTTGGCTATTGACAAGATGTCATAACTAAAGGCATCAGACCTAAATATTTATTACATAGGTATAGAGATGGGAATATATTTTTTATGAATGTGTGTAGTGAAAGTGTAGAGAAACTTACCATGTGAATATTGTTTAGAGTTGTAGGTCAAAATTCCAATATATAGATGGTGTAGAGTTAAAGAAGAAATTGAATTAACTCCATATCTTTCCTTAGTTTATAGTATTGCATTTTATTGACTTGTTTAGTTAGTATATTAGCCAATTGTTCTTATGTACTTATATATAAAACTCAAACTTCACCAAGTTGAGTCTTTTCTTGATTGAAATAAAAACACATTTCAATATACTTAGTTCTTGCATGTAGTATTGGATCAACAACTATCTTTATGCATCCTTGTTTGTTGTTCATAATTAGTGTATTTTATTGATTTGAATGTATAAATCTTTAAATAGTCTTAAAAGCCATGTGATATCTTTTGCCACTTTAGATAGTTTTTTGTATTTTGCCTCAAGAGTAGATAAAGTAACAATACTTTCCAATTTTGAATTCCCTAAATAGACCTTTATGAGTCTATGTCTCATTCCTAATATGCATTAGTATAAGCTATTAATTCACTTAGTTTTCTTTTTGAGTAATAGGTTCCTAGATTTGTTACATCTTTTAAATAACATAGAATGTGCATTCTAGCTTTTTAGTGTGATTTTTGTGGTGTTGTGTAGTATTTGCTTATTCTATTAACTACAATACTAATATATAGTTGTCTAACATTTATTAGGTACAAAAGACTTCTAACAAGCCTTAGATATTCTCTATTTTCAACCAAATTGTCCTCTATATTGCTTTGTAGTTTGGTTCCTTCATTCATAGGAATTGCAATTCCATTGCAATCAAGGATGCAAAAGTTGTTAAGTATAATTTTATCATAATTTCTTTGATGGAGAGTCACACCACTTTTGAAGTACTTGAATTCAACATCAAGATGAATTTGAATAAATTCCATGTTGGTTACTTTAAATTCAGATAATAACTTCTTTTCAACTTTTATAATTTCTTTTGTATTGTCTCTTATAATTATCGCATCATCTATAGATGAAAACATAAGTGTATATTTATCTTTATGATGTTAAATATAGAGATTGAAATATATAGATAACTTTTTAGTCCTATCTTTTAGAGATATTCATTAATTCTTCTATACATGTCAAGGACAAGAACTCGATGAAAAAACAATTCAGACAAGTGAGCCTTCACTCAAAGAAAGATAACAAAATATAAATAAACAAGTATATATATTGAAAGAGAAACTGGAATGGCTATTGCCAAAAGACAAGAAAACTAGAGATCCTTGAAACTAGACTGGAAGCAAGAAAGGAGTTGACAAGAGTGAAGAAGTCTTAAGTCTTGTCTCTATATATACTATCTAACTAGAGGCTACATGGCGACGTTCTATAGGACCTCCAATATGTGTTGACTTTGTAGGACACATGCCTTGACTTACAAGGCAAGTTTTTCTACGTATGGGCCACATAGTTAGCTTGATCTTCAAGCTAACAACATGTGTGGCACATGGCCAACTTCTTGACCACGTTTCTAATCTAAAAAGTCAATTAAAGATACCTATGAAATCAAAGCAGCGTCTATGAAGCTTCTAAGAAGCTTCCATATTAAATACTATAGAATTAACTTACTTTTACTTATTTTTACTTACTTCTATCTATTTATATATGTAATTACTAGCTTATATGAATATGTTCGTGACATTACCCCCCCTTCTAGGGACGAGTTCTACAAGGAGCGGTCATCATATGTTGAGGAAATCTATGATGCGACGAATTGTATTCGCCACATACTCTGATCTTAGTTCTCTTCGAAGATGATTAATAGGGCCTCTCAACCATCGGTAGTGTCCCATACCAGGGCGGGAAGACCACCCAATTATTTGATCATTGTTGAGGCCTTCATAACTTCCTTCAAATAGAACATTTGGAACACCATTAAGAGTTGTTCCTACTTCTAGCAAAATCACTAAACATCAGGAGTCCCTTCCCAAATCGTGATACCAAACGCATTGTATCTCACCATCTATTCGAGGAAGAACATGTCATTTTTGAAGATCTTCATCTCAATTGCGTCATCTTGAAGGTTGTAACAATCGTAATGTCTTATCCGACAGGTCAGCAAATGAAGGCTCTTGAGTCGAATCCACTGGTTGTTGATTCTCCATCTCTTGAGCGTTGTCGTGTTGTAACACAAGTATACCGTGAAAATATAAAGAAAGGAGACTTTTATTAATGTTCAGTTACCTCGAATATTGGGAGCAACGACCAATTCCAGTGCAAATACTGAAAGGCCAGGTTCAGTCACCCCGTTACAGTCAGCCGGGGCATATTGAAATGCTCCATTTGATTCCAATAACGGGAGTCAGCAGAAAGGGAAAGGACCAATTCAACGACAGGTGAGCTTGGTTCGAAGAGCCAATTGGATTCAATTTCAAGACATCCAATCCAGATCCTATTACGGGCCTCTTATCCAATATGAGACCTGACTTGGTCGGGCAACCCAATGCGGTCCAATTACGGGAACATCCAGGTCTTATTACGGGCCTCTTAGCCAATATGAAACCTGAATTGGTCGGGTGACTCAATGTGGTCCCGATTACGGGGCTCCGATTCTGTTTTACGCTGTTCCGTCCTTTGTGCCATTCCGGGAACGTCCTTTCAGTAAAAGGATCTCTTAAAGGTAAAAACGGAAGAAAAAGCTCTGACAGCGGGAGCCAATTCTCGATCCAAGATGGAAGATTGAAGAAATTCAGAGGCTAGGGTTTGAAAGAGGGGAGAATTAGGGTTAAAGGAGAGGATAAGTTAAGAAATGGAAGGAGGGAGAATAAGTTTTTGAAGGGTCAGAGAGCTAGCTTCATGCTTCGGGCGGGAGAAAAAAACAGAGAATTGGGGTTTTAATGAAGTGGGTGTGATTACTCTTGACTGTTTTGTGAAATCGAAGTTACATCTGTGATTGAAGAATTAAAACGGTGTCTATAGGATTGAGTATGCGGAGTGAATGAAATTTATTGAGTTAATCTAACAAGACAGTCAGTGGATACAAAGTCGTGAGTATAAAGCGGTATCGAAGATTAACAGTTTGGGTTGTTTGGGGTTCTCTGTAACGTCTAAAGACCTACCGGCTGGGGTAAAAAGGATTTCGGCGAGTAGTCGAAGGACATCCGTATAGATTTACAATATATTTTTACAATTGTTTATATTCCAATAGCAAAAAACCGATAGACTGCTTGAATATTAGCGAATCTCCATACTACCTTCTACAACCAGACGCCAGATGCTTTCTCGAGCAGGAAAGCACATAATACGACATAAAGTGGTGAACCCGACGTGAAAGCTTGAGGTGGAAGGTATTGGATTTCGTTTGATTTTATTTTTATTTTTATGGAAAACAAAAATAAAAATTTTGAAGGATCTTTGGGAGGATTTTTTGGTGGGGGTTCTTCTAAAGGACAAGGTATGCACATGGATCCGTCTATTGCTAGTATGTTTCAAGCCTTCTCATTATCAATGCAGCAACAGCAAAGCAATGATCGAAAGAAAGCTTTGGCAACCAAAGCATTACAAGCAGTGGTCAATAAAATTGATCAATTTGATGGAAGAAATATTTCAAGGTATTTAAGATGTTATATTCATGAAATGGAATTAAATCAAATTTCTGAGAAGAAAATGGTTGAATTATTTGGACTTGCCACGATATTGGAGATAAGAGACCATATTACATCAATTACGGATCATTATGGGAATTCATGGGAGGTTTTTTCACATGCATTGAAAGACAAATATTTCTTGAAAGATGCTGATCGCGTTACTAAGAAGCTATTTCTGGAATGGATTGAACGGCCTAATAAGAATTTGCAAGCAACAGAGCTACTAAGGGAATTTGAGAGGTAGTACTCTCAATTATCAAAGGTAGAAAAATTGACATTGGAGCCAAACAAAGTTGATCTATTTCTTCAAGCTGCTGATGGAGAATTGCAAGGAAAATGAGAACTCCTTCTTGAAGACAAAGAAGAAGATGAAGGATTGACAACAAAGTGGAAGAACATTGAAGATGCGGTGGGGTTGCTTACAAAAAGAGAAAGGAGGAAGGATAGGAGCAATATTCCGAAAACAGTACAAGCACCCAAAGCTCCAGTATGTACAACACCACCAACAATGCCTACAGTTCAACCTTCAACATCCTTATCAAAGAAAGCAGATATAAAGATAGAAGAAATTATACGAGGAATGCGAGATCTTCAAATCAAATTGGCAAGACTTGAAGAGAATACTT